CCACACCCTGACAGTGAGAGGACTGCTGTGGTGCTTTTATTATTATTATTGTCTCTTTTTTTGAGACAGGGTCTTGCTATGCAGTTCAGGCTGGCTCTGAGCTCACTTTGTAGCCCAGGCTGGTCTCAAACTCACAATGATCCTCCTGCCTCAGCCTCCCGAGTGCTGGGATTACAGGCATGCGACACCAAGCCCAGCTATTTTATTATTTAAAATGTTATTCTTTATTTGCTATTTAAACCATTATGCTATTTTTTCCTTATTTACTAAATCGAATATACCAAAAAAAAAAAAAGGTCAGTCAGCTTCTTAGAAATACAAAAAAACTGTGTGGGTTTTTAATAATTTTGAATTTTATAGGTCTTATATAGCATCATAAGCACTCTTTATTCATAATACTTGTAATAAGTGTAAATTGTACACATATAAAAAGGTCCTGAGAATTTAAAAATGAATAGGAAGATATTTTTTAATCCCTGATTTGTATATTTTCCCCTGTTATGGATATTTTTATGAGTCTCTTAGTCAAAGTTTGTACTTTTAGAATTTGAGCTTCCAGTAAATGATAGAACACATTTTTCCTTTGCAATCGCTATTTCTCACATAGCTAATGGAAATCATATGTAACTTTTCTAATACTAATCAAAAATACAATGTTTTTCTGTTTGTTTAGTCTTGTTGAAAAGAATGCTGTTGAAATATCCTTGATCTTGTACTCTAAAAATTCAAAATGGAAATCTCAGCCTTATCAGGACAGGTGGAAACCAACAGTCTCCCTTGAATTCTTAGTTTTAATGATATTTTAAGTTCTACAGGGAAGGATAAAGAACAAGCACAGTACTGATGGTGTATGAGTCAGTGGGAGGATAACTGATAAAATTAAACCTCTGCAACCTGCTGAGCTAACCCAAACTTGCAAAGCCAGCAGATAACGATTCCTACACTATCTCCCTGCTTCTGTTAGAAAGGAAGGGTTCTTTTGATTTCTTATGGCCATGGGGAAAGAAAGGCAACGCAGAAGGCCCGGGGTGCTGATAAAGTCACTGGTAAAGCGTGGGAGACAGCATGGCAGAGAGGAGGCAAGGTGACTTGGATTCAAACCCGAGGTCCTGGGATAGTAACTTGACCCATCTGTTCTTCTGTTTCTTTGAGTAGTATATGTCAAATTCCTAACCCACAGGGGATGCTGCCATGGCTTGTGCGGAGCACTTGGTACTTATTTATGTTGTGCCTGGCCCAGCTTCTTTGCTCCATGGCAAAAGCTTTTTAAGAATCTTCTAACTCACTGAAGCTTCCAGCAGTGATTCAGTGGGGCACTGTGAATGATGATTAAATAATACAGCAAGCTCTGGCAGCAGATATTGGAAGACCGGCCAAAGGACAATTTTCCATTCCTGGCCCAGGGGACTAACTTGAGACCCTTTGGCTAAGCCCACTTAATGAGCTGTCCGGATGAATTGTTGGAAGAAGTTCCAGGTCTGGAAGCTGACTCTACCCGGGTTGCAGAGCGATCACTGCCTTACATACTCGGGGCTAATGAGTCCTTGGAGAAGACTGGGACCTGGATATAATCCTGGCCATGGCATACAGGGCTGACTGGGAGAGTTCATTCATAGCCTCACTCACTGAAAAATGAAAAATCCAGGGCAAACTGAGCAATGAACTTAGACTTGTTTTCCCTCTGGACTTTGGCCATCTGGTATACCTGGGCAGGGTGTATACTGATTTGAACAAGGATATGTAAGAGAGGAAGAAGGTGGATAAGGGGAGCAAAATGTTGTCAGCATCTGCTTTGTGATTTAGAAGATAAGTATGATGCCATGCCATTAAAGGATTCTTCCCAGGAAAATGGAACAATAAGAGAAAAACTTCTTAGCTTGAAAAGTTTGCTCATACTTCTAAACCTGTTGCGTATGATAGTAAGAATTGAGATTCCTCATCACAATGACTCTTAGAACAAGCTTCTAAAGTTTTTCCCTGGCTCTGGGCCATATTTTGGTAAGCAGAATGAGTTAGGTTTACCACTGACTCCTTTCTCTCATCTTCCATTCATCTTGATATATAGTTTTTCCCTGGTATCCATGGGTCCTCCATCTGTCTATTCAACCAATTGTGGATTGAAATATTGGAGAAAAAGAAATTGTGTCTGCATTGAACATGTACAGACCTTGTTCTTGTCATTGTCTAAACAATACAGCACAACAAATATTCAAATAGCATTTACATTATATTAGGTATTGTAATTTAGAGATGATTTAAGTATACGGGAGGATGTGCCTGGGTTGTTGGCAAATCCTATGCCGTCTTACATATGCAAGGAACTTGAGCATCCTTGGAGACTGGTATCTACAGGGAGTTCTGGAACCCGTCCCCCACTCCACGGATTCTGAGGGATGGCTGTATATATTTACATACACCAAACTGTTCACAATGTGAGTTTCTTCATTCCTCTTGGTCGGCTTTTCTCACTCTTTAGTTCTTTTAAGATTTCCTAACTGACCGGCCACATCAGCCTTTCTCTTGAGTTAGTTTCAAGCCTTTCCATGAGCCTGTAGGTCACCTATTCCAATGAGGGCGTTTCCCCCTGTATCCCTCAGAGCACTTGGTACAACCTTTTGGCATGGAAGGAGAGAGGAATCAGTCGGGCAGGTATGCTGGGAAATGACCCCAAGAATGATGCTCGAGCTGTCGTAAAGGTGGTGCTTCCCAGGTAAAGAAGGCGGTGAGCGAACCCAGGTAGAGCATGGAGGTCAGACAGAGCACGGCGAAAGGTGCTGGTGATGTGTTCTGTCTGCTGAGCAGATGGGCAAGGGAGGGCTGGAGGTGATGTTCGGGGTTGAAACCCAGTGGGCCCACTGCCCTTCCATGTGCGTTCCAACGGCGGCGGTTGGGATCCTGGGAAGAATTTAAGGTGGGGTGAAGCGAAGGATACATTTGGATTGAACGGACCTAAGAATAGAGAACTAAGCCAGGTGCAGTGTACGCCCACAATCCCAGCCACCTGGGAGCCTGAGGCAAGGGGAATTGCTTGAGTCCACAAGTTTGAGACCAGCTTAGGCATGTTTAAAAAACAAACACAAACAAACAAGCAAACCAAAGACAAAGAACCTGATCAGATTTGCTTTTTTGAAATTGTCTGGGCAATGGGATATACTCACCCTGAGCCCTACTTTCCTTGTTTCTAAAGAAGGGCAATCTGTTTGCATGAAGATCAGACATGCTGACGTATCTGTAAGTGGTGTATATACGTAGTGTACTCTTGTTATGCCTCTGGGTCATGAGTGAGTCAACAAGTTATACTCTCAAGAGATCAGTCAGCTGAAGCGAAATGCGTATGCTTGGTTTTGTGACCGGATTTATGTGGCCCTCCACTTCTTTGAACATCTGTTGTTTTAAAAGGGAACAGCTCTTCCTATTTGTTGTGTACCGGGTGGAATCCTAACTGCTACAATTTGGAAGGATGGGTAGGAGGGTCTAGTCAGCATGGGTCACTGAAGAGGAACATGCTTTTTTCCCCCTCGCTTTGTTATACTTGCATTCCTCAAGAGCCGTTTAGAAAGAAACGGTTTCCCATCTTCTCATAGTAAATAGTAAATCTGGTGGCTGAAGATGTCTTCATATATTACTAAAACTCTTTTTCAGAGAGTATAGTTGTCATTAAGCAAATAGAAACTGGATGCAGAAATAGCTGGGTACAGAGATTTGTTCATGAGGCATCGCATATGTGTGACGTGACGTGGTGTGATGTGAGGGCACCAGGTTTTATTCAGTGTTATGAAGGACCGTAGTTCCCAAAGAGATGAGAACATATTTAAGGCCCAGGTGTGAATCCTGCCTTAACCATTCAGTGCTGGTGCAACCCAAGAAATCACAGTACCTCCCTGAGCCCCGGGCCCTGTAAAATGAAGCTCCTGAGCAGCTCACGGAAGCTTAGTACCTGCAAAATGGGTATAAAAGGCCCCCTTCACAGGGCTCTTAGAAGGAACACAGTTCCCGGCAAGTAATAACCCCTCCGTTAGTAGTTATTAGGGCTGGAGAGGACAACCACATCCGGGAAGTCAGCACCCGCCTCTTCTGATGATGGCATCAGTGAATTCCAATGTTCTTCCATACACAAATCTCAGCTGACATTCGAAAAACAGGAAGAACACAAGAGAAGACTGAGTTTAGTCTGTAACAGTTCTCGAGGAGGGCTTGGAGTCCAGGGCTGGCTTCTTCTCACAGGCCTCTGCAGTTCAAGACCAGGCAACACCAGCCAGACTAGGTCACCGTCAGGATCAAGGTGAAAACAACGTGAATGGTGATCACGGGCAAAGCAGCGCAGTTCACACAGCCGCAGGTGTCAGCCCCGCTCGTCTTTATTCCTCCGCCATTTTGTTTGGTGGGGTAGCAGCACCGCCTGGGCAGACCCGGGAGCGGGAAAGGATGGAGTCTTACCTGTGAGCTCCGGTTAAATTCAGCGCTCATCTCAGCACTCCTGATCTTGGACTTTGCAGCAGCAAGTCAAGGAGTGGCAGGAAGATGGGCTTAGACGAAAGGTTCTTCGTCAAAATTCAACACCACGGCTGGAAGCTTGTTTCTGAATTTCACTGTGCACGTGCCTTGGAGGTGTTTTTGGAATGTGATTTAAGAAAAACAAACTTTCTAAGTAGCATATAGCCGGCTCCCATCTTTCCAGCATTCCTGCCTTTAGCCAATGTGTTGCCAGACTCCCCTGACAGTATTTGCTCTGTGTGGGTCTCAGGCTGTTCATGCAGCAGCCAGAAAACGGCCCCTCTAGCCCGCCAGAGTCAGGGACTCTGCTTCCCCAGCTGACCCCGCCACACCACCGTGGAGCAAGAGCACATCCGGGGTTAACCACTTCCTCCCAGTGACCGGGTACGCATCGGGGTGGTCACTGGTGATGGCTCAAGCCATGTCTGGGCTCTCCACCACCAAAATCTGCAAGGATATCTCCAGGCAGCTCAAGCCATTCATTCCTCAGGAAACGGTCCATTAAAATATATATAACACGCATGTATTTATTCCCACAACCGAAAAAATTCTTTGCCACTGGGTCGAACTAAATCTGACAAGAAACCCTATGAGATTTTATTAGTACCATTATTGTTTTTCTTTGGCGCCATGTATTACATTGGTAAAATGACAAAAAAAAAAAAAAAAAAGGAAAATTGTAAAAGGCAAATATTTTGTACAAAAATACAAAGTTTTAAAAGCTCTTTAAGTATATTTCATATTACTAAGAGTTGGCCTATATATCTGTGTATCTGCATAGTTTCCTATATTCGGGATTTTAGAAATGTTAAGGTACTGTTCACACAGTGTATATTTTTCTTCCCAAAGCTCAGCAACCAATGGTGGTCTTTTTCCGACTAGAGCATTTCATACTTTGGAAGATATCATTTGTGTAATTGCACAGTTATTGGCTGAGAAAAATCGATGTGATTCAGTCCATCTGCACACTGAAAATCAACATGTCACACTGGGGGAACGTATTGGTTCCCAAGTTCTTGGGTAATGGCAAACGAACAGCAGCCATCAATTATTTTCAGTAATTGTTTTTCAGTGCCTTCCCCCCGTCTGGTGAGAAGTTGGTGCAGTCCACGGGGAGTATCCTTTACCCTGGAGAAACTGTCAGAATATTTGTTCATGTCATCCCATCATGGTCCATTACAATGCCAGTGATAGCTCTAAAACAGAGATAAAAACTGGTGTTAGTTTTGCTTGAAGAATGAAGTTAATGCACAATTCAAAAAAGAAGAAAAAATCTTTAGGAATGAAACCCATCATTCAACAGTGTTTACTTTCTCAAAGAAATGTCTAAAGTTCTCGTTCGAATTAAGTACAAGCTAAATTTCACTTTCAAGGATTATTCTGGGTAAGACTAATCCCTGAATTAATCCCAAATGGCCAAACAAGGCACACAGATGACGTCTGGGTTACACGCCACCCTCTGTCATAGTGTTGTATAGATTTCCACGTTTCTGCCCTCAGCTAACCAGACTGTGAGCTCCTTTTGTGTTCTGGACCAACGTGTGACAGACACATGGAAAGTGCTTGGTGACTGTCTGTTGAGTGGGTATATTAGTAACTTGTCCCTCAGTTACTTATAGGAATGATTTGAGCAAAGTATGTTTTGTTTAACACTATCTTTTAAAAAAAGTAGCAGCTTTATTGAAATATAACTCTCAAACCATACAATTCACCCATTTAAAGGGTTTAATTCACTTCTTTTTAGTATATTCACAAAGTGATGCCAATAACATCTAATCTTAGAAAAGATTTTCATCACCCCCCAAAAGAAACCCAGGACCCATAAGCATTTGTTTTCCATTTCTTCCATCCCCTACAAACTTTTAACTTCAAATCTACTTCTGATGAAGGAGTTGTGCATTCAGTGAACGTTCTGATCATCTTTTGAAGTCAAGAAAATCTCCAAAGGCCTCTTCTGAGCTTATAAAGGGCACAGACAATGTTCTTCCTTTACTAGTACAACATCTAGCTTATTGTAGATACCCATGCAAAAGGTGTAACATTGGGTACCACATCTTCAAGAACAATTAGCTAAGTTGTTGACCTGAACAGTTAGGCCAACATTTATTGAGTACTTCCTGTATGTTTGGCACATTTATTAAAATAACTACTCATAACAGCCCAGGAAGAAGACACTGGTCCTCCCAGCTATCCCCGCCGCAGGACACAACCTCTGCGGCTCCTTTTTTTCTTGGTGGCAGTATCGAGGGCCTACCTGTCTCCCTGTCTTTCTCGCAAATGAAGTTGTTGATGTCTTCGCACTGGAAGTCGTTCCACTGCCCAGCGTAAATCAGCCCAGCACAGTCTTCCCCAGGCCCGTGGCCGTGACCCCAGTTATCTGGCTGTCCAGCTTTCCAGTTTCTTTTAACAAAACAGAAACGGAGTGTTATTTACACAGTAATGTCAAGGTTTCCTTTACTCACGAAAAGCAGAGGAATGTACACATCAAAACTGAAGCATATCATTTGTCCTGGAATGAAAACGTACTGTTTAAAACTCTTATTCAGAATAAGAAGCAGCTGTTTGTGGGGAAATGCAGCCTAGCCGTGCAGGCTTGCTGTCTCGGCCACGGTCAAGTAACTTACTGTCCTCACCACCATGCCCGGGGGTCGTTTTTGCAGCCAGTTAGAGGAGTGACTTTCTAATGTGTCCCAGACTGCTGACTTCTGGGCACAGGCGTGTGTATAGTTGTACATAAATATACGTGCACTATGAGGACATCTCACACGTCTCCACGCACTTTTGTGAGAACCTAGAGATATCCTTATACATTGTGCTATCTTGTCTCTAATATAGCAAACCATCAGGAATACGAAGGGAGAGACCCTTGATCCACATTTTAAAAAAAACCTACAATTATAAATAACTAGCAAGGGTTGCCTGGCTAAGATACAGATGGCTCAACACTTCAAAAAAAAAATTAGTAATTTAATCTTACTGAAAATGACTAATACATTGCACTGCTTTTGCTGGGGCAGAGACCCTTACAAACAAGCTCTCTTTAGGATGAGTTCACTTGAGGCTTATTAACTTGGATGCTGCTGCTCAAAGCAGCACTTGCCAGAGTTTACGGTTCTTGAATCTATTTCTGTGCAATAAATTAGATGTGCTCTGGACGCCATTCTTGAAGGTGAACTCCTGCTCAGGATGCAGGTTCATGCAGAGAAGCTTGTGGTTTCTGCTTAAGGAGACAAGCTGGCCTCTCGAGGGTCTGGGAGAGCATGTGCAGGAGGAGGCACCTCCCGATAACGGTGACTTGTACCCCATCAGCCAGGAGCTCTCAGAGCCCCTGGGGAAGAGTTCACGGTGCCCTGCACCTTCTGACAGTAAGAGCGGCAAAACCAGAGGGCAGTGGGAAGGCACAGGGTACAGTGGGGAAGCAAGGCAAAATTAACACCTCCAACTCCAGATGTGCATTTAGGGGCTTCAAATAAATCGTGGCCTCAATTATTCAGAAAGTCATTAGAAAAATTATTAGAAAATAACTGATGATGGAAAGGCGGTCTAAGCAGTGACGGCGAACCTTTTAGAGAGGAGTGCTCAAACTGCAATCCAAAGCCTACTTCTTTATTGCAAAGCACCAACCCTGCCATTAAACCTGAATGGTGAGGTTTTAGTTTAGAAAAAAACAATGCATGAACATCTCCTGTCTCAAAAGAAAAACACAGCAACACATGCACCACGGAGGAAACCATCAAGTGGTCAGAGTAAAAGCGGGATGACACTGAGAAGGGCGAATGAGAGACAGTCCCTCACTCACACACCGCAGGTCTGTGCTGTGCGACCCCTGTGTGCCGGGTACGACCCAGGGACGGTGACACCGTACAGGGAGCAGAGCTCTCATGGACTTAAATAACAGGCAACACAGAGGCATTCAGAATCCCAGACTAGAGATGCCAGACGGGGATGAAGCTGGAAGGAAACGCGGTTGGCTTTCACGTTTGCGGTCTTGTCCATTCCTGTCCAATCTGCTGGTCACACCTGGAAATGTCAGAGATGTCTGAAAGGTCGGATCTTTTTAATGTCCTTTCTGTTCATTTCTGCCAGTGATGGGGAGGAATCCATTCCAGTTTTGTTTACAGAATTTGAGATCTGTGACTCCTGAATGTGTAATGATGGGACTTTTGATAATCTTACTTTCTCTGTTAACCAGCACACTGTGGAGATATGGCTTCTTTGGATTTAGAACATGCATTTCCCTTAAAGTCATTTTAAATGAAGGAGATAAAAGCAATTTACGAACTAGAAGATAACTAAGTGATAAGAAGAGAGATAATCTTTGTCACCCTTCTCCATTTGGTCGTCCATGCACAGGAATCCTTCACCTACAGTCCTCAAAGCCTTCCTTAGGACTACAAATGGAATGCAGTTTTGTGGGGGCGGGATGTGGGGTACCCCAAGGCCAGCCACAGAGTGACTTCTTCCTGCAGACCGAACACCTAGGGCTCCAAGCATCTCTCTGGAAAAGCTAAAATCCCAGGGAGTGATGTGGCAAAACCTCTGCCTGAATGCTCATCACACAAGAACACAACAGGCCGCATGAACAGTTGTCTACAGAAAAGACTATCTGCTTAATGACGAGTTAGTGTCATATGCACTTCTAAGTACACCAGGAGCCCTGGAAACACCAGACTGAGAGCTCCCGTGAGCTGTAAATGTGCAAGCACAGCAGCTAGTGGGTGTGGAGCACCCCAGGACTTGGGGTGATCCCAGTGGAAGCTCTCAACCTTGGGGCTAGCTTCTTTCAGATTCACAACCTAGTACACACATTTCCTCATCCACCGTAAGACTGACCGAGGCTAAACATGGCTGGGAAGCATCTGCTCACAGGGCTTGGCCTCAAAACAGGAAAATGATAGTGGTGAGAAATGTTCCTCCGCAGCAGGATGTTCTCCCACTACAGTGTTTGTGTTGTGGAAGATTCTTCTCCCAGGGCCCGATTGCAGGCCACGGGGGTGGAAACGTGACATGTGGGCCAGCTGGGTGGTTATCGAACTAGAGGACACTGAAGTCCTTTCTGTTCCGAGGCTGTGTACTATAAAAACACAATGAGTGACACGACATGGAGCCATCTGCAGAGACAGAAGAGCAACCCATGCTTTATCTGTGTGATATAAAGATAAAGGCTGTTGGGCTCTTGCTCAAAACTTGACAGCATATTCCTATCAGACGTCATCTGTGCACAGGAGGAAGACAGGAAACGCGAGTGTGCTCTGGGAACCCCTCAGAAAGACGTCACCTCTCTGCTGATCTGAGAGGGCAACCGTGAGCAGGGTGGGTGAGAGAGGCCTTACTGCCCTGAGCAAGTGGGCAGGGCCAGCCTCCTTCATGCAGCGGGTTTTGCCCAGCGCAGGGGAATCTATCAGTGGTGACAGCCTGCCAAACAATACCCCCACATTTATTCCAAGTCCAAGCTTGGGTTAATGTGCTTTGTCTCACCAGTTCTATTTCACTGCTTCCTGCTCTGTTTCTTTCCTCCTGCTTAATTGTGACTCTGTGTGTGCACATGCAGGTGGGATGCTCAGGACTGAACCCAGGGCCTTACACGTGCACTTTCTGCTCAGGCATTAATCTGCTCGTCTTTTTCCTACCGTTGTATAATGGAAGCTTAGATCACTGATTTTCAACCTTTAGAAATTACTATTATTTTTTTTGTACCAGAAATCGAACTCAGGACCTTGCACTTGCCAGGCAGGCGCTTAGGCCACTAAGCTGTATCCCCGGCTAGAAATTATTTCTAATACATGTACTTTAAGGCTATAAATGTCCCTCTAAGCACCGTTTTAGCTGCACCCCGTAAATTTCTGACATGTTTTTCATTTTCAGATTTTTTTTTATGGTTTCTTCTTTGATCCATGATTTATTACCTCATTTCCAAATACTTAGGATGTTACAGTAGTATCCTGTTATTAATTTCTATTTATTTTTGGCCAGGGAACATACTTTATATAAGCTTACTGAGATTTGCTTTATGGCCCAGTATATAGTCTGTCTTGGTGAATGTACTATATGTACTTGACAAAAATGCATATTTGCAGTTGTTGAGTGAAAAGTTCCAGAATATTAATTAGTTAAGTTAACTGATTGAGACTACTATGTCCCTATTGAATTTTCCATCTCCTTGTTCTATGGATAACTCTTTGAAGCCATGGTCTCTGCTCTGTCCATATTTGGGCTTGGAACATCCCCTTCCTTGAGACCTGGTCTTGGAAATCAGCCTTTTCTATGTAAACAGAAGAACACCTCTCACTCACACTGCTGCCCCACCCCTCAAAAATGCCCTGCAGGCCGGCAGAGCCGCTGCTCCAGGATCATTCAGTGACAGTCGTCACAGGACCCTAAACTGACCTAAATCTGTCATCAAAGGCTGCTGCTGGCAGGAATGGAGTTGTCACAGGTCTGCGGTCACATGTGAAAAATAACAAGTGTGTGTGTGAATGCAGGATGAGCAGCTGTCTTTTCTTGGAGAAGACTATATGTTTTTAATGCCCAGACTAGCTGGTAGGTCATGTTTAAAAACTATGTCCTCTATCAGCAGACTCAAGTCTCAGCGGTCTCATGACCTCCCGTCTCCGGGCCGAAGCTGCACCGGTATGGGGACCTGGCCCCAGCACCGTCTCAAGCCATGCAGCCTGCCTTCCCCATGCCGGTCCTGTCCTGCCCCAGGGCAGCAGCGGGGCGAGTGCGGCCAGCCAGGCTGTGCCTTCCGTGGGAAATAAACCTTGTTTGGGTCTGGGCGTGCTCTTAGCCCCTGGTACCTGTTCCATGTTGCTGCTGCTTTTTGTCTGCTTATTCCTTATCAACCAGGCTTTGCATAAATAACTGTGAGGTTGAAAGGCACAGGAGAGAGCTGTTTATCCCGGTTCCAATTTAACAGTAACGACAAAGCCCTTAAGCAATTTCAAAAGGGCCGCGTGTGCTGGGGGCACAGGCTAAGAGGAAAGCTGGCACTGAATTCTTCCGTGGCTCAGGCAAGGTCTGGGATGGTGCCCAGGTCACTGACTGACGGTTTGGGGGAGAGTTTAAGAGGACTGGTATTAATCCTCATTTGAATGTTTCATAAATTCAGCTGAGAAGGCTTCTGGTCTGGGTTTTTCTTTGTTGAGAGGGTTTTGCTGACTTCTTCAGTCTCCTTACTTGTTACTGGCTTGTGTAGGCTGTCTCTTTCTTCTTAGCTCAGTCTTGGTAGGTTGTATGTTTCTAGAAAGGTATCCGTCCTAGGTTATCGGGTCTGTTGGCATATCATTGTTCATACTAGTCTCTTATGATTGCTAGCTCAGAAATCATGGCTGGCAGTAGGAGAAAAGGAGGTGGACGGGTCAGTGCTTAGAGGCCTCAGAAACAACGTACAGATGGGCCTGAGCAGATGGAGAAGTATTTGGGCAGATTATACTGGTGGGAGACTGCCGAGCACTGGAAGCCTGGTCTCCATTCCCAGGACACGACAGGGAATGTTCTTGTCTTCTTCACAAAGCTGTTTTGAGACTTGAGTGGGAACTGTGGTTGCACCTCAGCCGTGTGATGGTACAATACTGTGTGTAAATTCTAGATAGTCGTATTCCACTGTGGTAATAGTTGTGACTATGACAATACTAGTAACACTACCAGGGCTTGCAGGTGAGATTTCTTAAGAATCTCTCATGTGCAAAGTCCCATACTAAATGCTACATATAGACATACACATCACATGTAACTTTCAAAATCCTGACACACTCACTTGCTTCGAATTCCACTTATCCACGGCCTCACAGAGGTCTCGCAGCCTAGTACCCAGCCCCGCCCTGACTGCACGGCTCTCTCTGGTGTGCGCAGTGATGATTACATACATGTTCAAGTCAAATGAGCCTTCAACTCTGAGGCCTGGTACATACCTGCCCAATTTCTTCTTGCTCTTAGAATCTGACCTGCACATTTATACATGGATGGAACCCTCTGGGTGGAAATGAGGTGCACGGTCTGGCTGGGCTGGGGATGAGTTCCCAGTCAGGGTTTGGGAGGGTAATCTCCTTGGGGGCGGGGACCGATGCTCGCATTTTCTCCCCAATCACAGAATTCTTGCTGGATCCCAAGCAAAAGGAGCAAAGTTTCACCTAGCAGAGCTGCTGAAGACAGTAATGTTCCAGCTCCATCCACTTCACATGGGCCGGTCCAGTTTATTTTAGAGGAAGGCTTGCAGTGGAATTTCTTAGTCTGTTTTTTTTTTTTTTTTTTTTTTTGGGTTTTCTCCGGTACCGGGAATCGAACTCACGACCTTGCGCTTGCAGGCAGGCGCTTTTTGCCGCTGAGCTAAATCCCCAGCCCCCGGAATTTCTTAGTCTAAGCCAGACCTCCTCATGGCAGTGAGAAAAGCAGAGGAAATGGATTTTTTTTAGCTCCCCTCAATTCCTTAAGAAAAAAATGTCTGGCTCTCTTGACGGTCTCAGAAATAGGTTTGTTTCTCCTGTATTAATCCCCGCCTCCCATTCCCATCTTCTGCCCTCCAGGGCTCCTGTGATTGGTGCCAACATCCGCAACTCTCCTAGGCCTCCCGCAGCACCTCCTTGTGCTGTGTGGTGCTCTCCTCAGAGCTCTGCAATTCCCGAGTGCCAGAGGTACCAGAAACTGTCCTTGGGGCAGCCTGAGGCTCACCTGGAACAGACCCAAAGTCTTCAAATATTTCACCTCAATACTTTGCTGTTTTTTTTTTTTTTTTTTTTTTAAGAGATGGATTACTGGGTGTGGTGGTGCAGATCAGTAATACTAGCACTTGAGAGGCTGAGGCAGGAAGGTCATAAGTTTGAGTTCTACTTGGGCAATTTAGGGAGACTCTGTCTTAAAAAATAAAAAGAGCTGGGCGGGATGGCCCACGCCTGTAATCCCAGCACTTGGGAGGCTGAGGCAGGAGGATCACTGCAACTTCGAGACCAGCCTGGGCTACAAAGTGAGCTCAAGATCAGCCTGAACTGCATAGTGAGGCACTGTCTCAAAAAGACCAAAAACACAAACAAAATTAAAAAAAAAAAAAGAAGGCCAGGGATATAGCTCAGTGGCACAGCACCTGCCTGGCAAGCACAAGGTCCTAAGTTTGATTCCTGGTAAAAGCAAGCAAGCAACCAAGCAAGAAAAAAGCAAGCAAGCAAGCAAGCAAGCAGAAAGAAGAAAGAAAGAAAGAAAGAAAGAAAGAAAGAAAGAAAGAAAGAAAGAAAGAAAGAAAGAAAGAAAAAAGGTTGGGCATGCAGCTCACTGCAAAGGCCTTGGGTTCTATCCCCAGTACTGGAGATTTCAAAAAACGAGAGATGGCTTTATTCTGGTTTCTACCTCAACCCTCTGATCATGTTCTGCACGTGGAGGATTTTCAAAGTACAAAGGCACCCGTCTACCCTCACGCAGACTTTTAAAGATGGTTTGTGACCTTTCCATCTCTTCTAACCCAAGCTTCTCTTCAACTGTCTGTGTCTCAGAAACCAGGACGTCTTAGATCTAAAACAGCTTCATTTTTCTCCCCTCCAGGGATGGAACAGCCAAAGGCACTCCCGGGACTGTGACGGCCTCACTGTCCTGCCTCGTGGAACCTCTGAGGGGTGTGGCTTCTGTCTCTAGCAAACCAAAGGTTCTCCAAGGTGGACTTTTCAAAGTGCTGCTTTATCTGGTTCCGTATGTTGCACATTTCTTGTGCAGGAGAAGAAGGCTGGAGAAAAGACAGGTAAAGCCCAAACTGGTAGAATTTCATCGGCTTCAGTGCCTTGGGATAGGAGGGAGCAGCCGGCAGCCCTGGGCGGCAGGTGCTCTGCAGGCTCTGCGTGCGCCACACCCGGACCTCTTCCAGCCTTAGGAAGGTTATCCCGCGGTGCAGTTTGGGGTGCGTGAACTCCCCGCGTACAGGAGAGCCGGGAACTTGTCTATCATCTCTCTCTGGCCAAAGACTGAGCAAGGCCAGGGCCACCGAGGGTGCCCTCCCGGAGGGCATGCTCTGTCCTCAGAAACACGCCTGGGGTGAACGCTGAATGTGCCTGCGGTCATACGAGCTTTGTGCCTGTGCGGTTCTATGCGCCTCCTGATTTTTATCTTAGAAATGAAGAAAAACTGACCCCATGAAAAGGAAAGAGGAAAACCCTACCTAATAGCACATCGATTCTCAACCAGCGTTTCCCCAGTGGAAATACGCAACTGGTGCCAGGAACGGGCACTTGACAGGGAGGTCTAGGACAGGAAACCAGGAAGGAAGAACGGGCGGGCGGACCGGACCGCGTGCGCCTGCGCCTGGCCCAGCGGGGTGCGCGCACTCACTTGTACTCTGCGGGCGTCCCGTCCAGCCACTTCCACTCGTTCTCCTGCTGCGAGTCGGTGAGGCCGATCCAGTGGCTGTCTCTCCCCACTACCTGCTTTTTTATCCATTGCTGAAAAACAAAGCAGCGCGGTGTGTTACTCTCAATGGGAAGAGCTGCCCAAAGGAATTTTTCAAAAAACATTTGGGCAAAGGGCCCGTCGAAAGCGATGTTTGTCAGAATGTACGCAGGACTCTCGCTGTCCTTCTTACAGCTCTTGTTTTACTTGGCACCCCTTGGAGGCACTAGTGTTTCTTCCTCTCACACGTTTACATGGGATACCGAAGTGATTCTCTCTCCAAATCACCCGGACAGCTCGCGGACTCCCCGGGCTCCCGAGTTCCAGTGCTGTGGCATCACGGGCCCTTCCCCCGGGCTTTGCGTGCACGCCCCATGTTCCAGAGATGACAAGCGGCTGAGCTGGGCTTGAGCCCAGAAGCTGCCCCGAGAGTGGGTGCTCACTCCCGTCCGCTGCTGTGGGAAAATGTATGTCACGGTTGTGTCTGCTGGAGACGCTTAGGGGAAAGGGAAGAGGCCCCTGGAACAGGGAGGCATCAACAGAACATTGGTATTGCTGCTGACTGGACTCCAGGCTCAGCTCTGCATTTACTTTTCCTGTGACTTAGTGTCTTAAACTTTGCTGGACCTCGGTGTTTCTTATCTGTAAAATGGGGATTATAGGACCTAGGTTGTCAGGCTTAAGGAAGAAAAGGCCTCGAACAGGGCAGGGGCTGGTAAGGGATCATTGTCACTGTCACACGTCGGCCCTGCCTTGTCAGCTTTTTCTCTGCTCTTTCTCCTGCCTCTGGGGCCATGTGTCTGCTCCCACCCCTACCCTGCTCCTGCGCCGCCCTCCTCCTCCTCCTCCTCCATAGGCGCCACTGGCAGCCTCCTGCACTCTGACTCTCCTGACAGCCACCAAGAGGAGCCACCCAATTCCCGGCCCCAGAAGCACCAGTCTGCAAGGCGAAGCCCAAGGCTAGACTCCCAGGCAGGGCCATGCGTGCTCCTTTGCCTGGAAAGCCCACTTCTCCACACTGCAGCGAGTGTAGCTTTCCATGTCTATGTGACCATGAGTTCTCGCTAGCTTTGACTCCCTAGCAAGCACGCAATTTCCAGATGTAAGCTATGCCGAAATTATAGTTTTCCCCGACCAAGTATGCAGCAGCCATACCTGTTCCTCTCTTGTGTTTATGAAAACGAGATGTGCAGACTTCTCTTCACAGAAAAGTTTTGCATCCTCAAAAGTCTCTTTCTCCACCGAAAAATAGTAGCATTGGTCTGTGAAGTTCTTCCAGTGGGGCGGACAGCCTAGGAATGCAAAGGTTTAAAGCACTGGTTTGAAAAATACAGAAAGCACTACGCCTTTTCTCAGCTACGTTTGAGAGGCCAAAGCTGCAGCCCTACGCCATCTGCACGCCAGGAGCATCCTGTGTCCTGTGTCCCTGGGCAGAGGCTGAGCTAATGTTTATAGATACTACCACGGAGCACCCGGGGAGAACCCTGTAATCTGGAAAAGCCTGTGACTGCATCTTCGTTCCTCTGTACCCGGATTAATCTTCAGAGGGACAGAAATAACAACAACGGAAAGCAGGGCAGGCACAGATGGTCACCGTCAGGCTGGGAGCTTCCGGAACCTAGGCACAGCTGGCTGTAAGGACCCAGAACCAAACCCAGGCTCACAGGAGGAAATGGAGCGGAAACAGGGTGGGTCACAGGCTGGGCTGTTAACTGGTCTGTTTTGCCGAAGGTTTAATTCTCCAGGGACTAGAAGGCACCACAACACCTTGGCACCAGCACAGAAAGTTTATCTGTGTGCCGATGGAGTTGCCCTAGGCGCTGCCCTGTCCCCAGGTCGAGGAGGGGGATGGTTCGGGGTGGCGGGCCACAGGCTGTCACGAAGAAGGGTCTGATGTGTGTCCGGCTCCTGAGCGCCGACTCCTTCAGACAAATCAGCGCTGGGGACCCTGCTTGTGTTTGGAGAGAAGGAGGGGCTGGGGCCTGGGGGTGCATCCATGAGCACACACGGCCCACCCACCGGCCCCTGGAAAAGGGGCTCAGACTTACCGTTGGCCTCCGGTACCGGGGTTGGCTCGTTCTGCAGAGCCAGGGGTGCCACTGCCCCTGATGGCCCCGGAGGACCAGGGGGGCCCTTGGGTCCTGGCATGCCTGGCACCCCCGGCAAGCCTGGCGGTCCTCGTGGTCCAGGCACCCCCGGCTCCCCCACGGTGCCCTGCAGTCCCTGGAAGCCAGGTGGGCCCGGAGGGCCAGGGAGTCCGTCCTTGCCTGCTGGCCCCGGGGGGCCTGGGTCCCCACTGGGGCCCTGAGGGCCTGGCTTCCCAGGGGACCCACGGGAGCCTTTGGGGCCCTGTGAGCCTTTGGAGCCTTTGCTGCCGCGCTCTCCAGGGGGCCCGACTGGTCCAACTGGGCCTCTCTCACCGGCAGGGCCGGGGGGCCCAGGCTCCCCCTTTTCTCCTTTCTGTCCTTTGTTGCCAGTTGGACCAGGGGGACCCTGAGATCCTCTGTCGCCTTTCGGACCTCGGGGGCCAGGAGGACCTAAACACACAAAAAAGAAAATGATATGAACACCAAGTCTGTTGTGAACGATAGCATGTAAAGTATTTATTTTTCTTATACAATCTCCAACTTAAATCTAGCATCAAATATACATTCTGGGATGCTTATTTACCATACTGCTTTGGGGCTATTATTATGGGCTGGATTATTTCTTCCCAAATTCATATGCTGAATCCTCACCCCAAGTCCTTACGGTGACTGTAATTCAGTTAAAATAAAGTCATTGGGGTGGACCCTAATTCAATAGGTGTCCCTCTAAGAAGAGATCAGGACACAGACGCACACACAGCGAGGACAAATGACACAGGGAGAAGCCGATGTGCAAGCCAAGGACGGGGCCTTGGAAGAATCCAACCCGGTCAAAACCTTGATCTCAGACCTCCAGCTTCCAAAATGGGGAGGAAATATGTTTCAGTTGTTAAAACCTTCCACTCTGGTACTTTTTTACAGCAGCCTGAGCAAATCAACACTGTGTGTGTGTGTGTGTGTGTGTATGTGTGTGTGTTCCGTCTCTAACACACTCACCCCTCCCCCTCCAGGCATTCAGAATGGATCTGAATGGTGCAAAGCTTTCCAGGGCTCCACTGATGTGCTCCACGTAGACCGCGGCAACAGAGTTGTCACCAGCAGAAAAGCAGTACAGGATTCCCCTGTACTGATTTCCTTTCTTTTTCACAGATTTGACAAATGCTAACGATCTGCTACGTGACAAACACCATGCAGGGTGTGGGGGGGACACAGCTGAAACGGACCAAACACGTCAGTGAGAGGGTGGGGGGTACTGATCTGTTCATTCCCTCACTGCAGCTAAGCCCTGGCTTTTCCTGTCACATCCCGCCCTGCATTCCTGTCCCCTCTACCAGTGTCGTCCTTAGGGCTGAGCCTCACCCCACTGCCCAGCTCAGAGGGATGGGACGGACCTTCCCACCCACTGTAGACAGGGGCCCACACTCACACTTTCTGGGCTGGGTTTAGTCTACTACAAAAAGAGACAATAGGCAAGAGGAAAAATGCCCTCAAGCAGCTCCCTTCACACAGGACTGTGTTCCTGAGTTTGCCAGGCAGAGGGCTACAGGGGACTTCATACCTGTATTCGACACCCAGAGTCTGCACTGTAACCTTCACTCGGATACGTCACCCGCATTCGTGTGTGACATGGGGGTCCCATAGCACAGATGACATAAGCTAAAGATGCCCAGCTATTTGTTCAAGATTACTTAGCTACTACGAACAGATACACCCTGGAAAATAGGACCAGGACAATCACAGTCTAGTAGTAGAGCTGGGACATGAATTCAGGTCTTCTGATGTTGGCATAAATACAGCTAAGAAGATAACAGTCTCAACATATTCTACTCTCCAGGATCTTACAGCTGCCGAGACTTCACAGTTCTGTGTGAATAACGAAAGAGGCCCATGCTTACTCTTTCTATGGAAGCAGAAAACTTTTAAGATTTTCCACCAGCTTGAACCATGGGAAAATTATGGATGTGGTTAAGAGCCGCCCAAAGTCAGCACAAAACACCAGCAGATACTGATTTCCAGATCTTGTGATGGAAGGGAGTAGATACTCGGAGAAGATGCAAGCTTTTGCCTTTGGTAAAAATCCAAAATCCTACTTGTGATGGATTTCTCAGTTGGATTAGGATGAAGATTTTTTTTTTTCAAATGAAGCTTACAAGTATCCATCATAAGTGGGATCAATGTCTTTCTTAATAGGATAAAGGCTAATATTCATGGTGGCAGATAAACTGGCATGCTCACAGTTATTGTGATGGCTTCATTCATAGCCTGAGAAACCCTGCAGGAAGGGTCCTCCACTCTCAGAAGCTGGGTTACATGAAAATAGATTCTCTTCTATACTTTTTACGTGGCAAGGAATTGGCTATTGCTTTTTTTTATGATTGAGAAGAAAAACTAAAATCAATTTAAAAGTCAGCACTGGGTCCTCACGCAAAGTAGACTGTTCATGCCAGAGAATTTTTTCCTCTAGGTCCTGGGGTGCTGGTATCACTACCATCTGGATGATCTTAGGGTCTTAGGTCTTACTTGAATCTTTTACTGGGCAGCTGCTGAAACAAAAATAAAATGAAATAAAATAGAAGCCATCCTTAGTGTCTCACGCCCTCTGAGTGAAATGACAGACTATTTATGAGCCTGTGCAGTAACAACTTGAATTCAGAGAAGAAAAAGCAGCACCACATGTGCGGGTACATGTGACGGCCCTGGCAGAGGCACATCTGACACTAGCTTTCACACTGGCTGAAACTGTAACTAGTGTCACAGCCTGGTGGGTGGCTTTCTGGCTTGTGAGTCTCAACTGCTCGGGTCCCCATGTGGCTGGTAAAATAGCCACAAGCTCCAGAAATGTTCAAAAACAACACCAGGACTCGGAGCAGCCCTGTATTTGCAGTGCCAGCAAAATCTCCACCGCATGGTCCCCAGCCTCCAGAACTTCAGGATCCCTGAAAACCTCAATGCTCAAGCAGTTCAAATGCAATGGAAGACTTCAACACTCTGCCTTTTCTGCTTTGGCAGTCAAACTGCAGGCCTTGAAAAGTGCACAGCCCTCTGTCCCACCCCGGGACAAGTTTCAAATGTGTTTTCCGACAGAAAGTAGAGAAACCACTTTAATTATTACTGCCATCCACAGTCTTGGCAACTTGACATTAAGAACCTCCAGTGGAGTGGTAAGGGTGGAAGAAGAGAGAAAAAGCAGAAAAAGTTCATTGCTATCATCAAATGCCGTTTTCTTATTTAAAAATGTACTCTGCAACTACAAACATTTATTGAACACCTATGTGTTAGCTTTCCTTTACTGTAGAAAAATACCTGAGATCATCACCTTTAAAAGAGAAGAAAGCTTATTTTGGCTCACAGTCTTAGAGGTTTAGTCCATGCCCAACTGGTTTCACCGCTTTGGGCCTAGGATGGAGCAGAACATCAAGGCCAGGAGCACATGGTGGAGAAAATAGTCTACCTCATGGCTGGGACGCAAAAGTAAAAGAGGAAGAGCCCAGTGACCTGAAGTTCCCTTTGAGGCACATTCCCAGTGACCTGAAGACTTGCCAAGAACATTAAGCGAAGGACCAACCCTTTAACACACAGGCCTGTGGGGGACATCCAGAAATAAACTATCGTAACCCAGAAAGTGCACAAGAAAAAGGAATGTACATATTTTAGAAATGTTAATAGACATTATTTGGCAACTGTTGGGAAGAATAATTTGATTCTTGACCTCAAGCTTGTAAGAGTGAGCTTCTGGAAAGCCACAGAGGGTCCCCGTTGTATTTCGCCCAGAGGAGGGGACAGTCAGAGCACCGCTTCTCACCTACTGGTCACAGTGGACTTCTGTGCCCTCTGCTTGTTGCTCTTGATGGCTCCAGGCACGCAGTCCTACTTGGGGAAGTGGACTCATGTCCACCTGTTCAATCTGCCTTGCACTTTGCATCGTCCCCTGTCCTTCCAGCCTGAGGATGCACCTCTAAGCTTCAGCTCAAATGTCAACCCGTAACTGACTGCACTTCTGCAAACAAACTCTCCATCCTCAGCCTCCCCAAACCTGTTTTAGGTCAGCACAGGGCGCTAGGATACCCTGCTGGAACCGGCACTGGCTGCCATTTACTAGCTGTTTGATCTTGGATAAGTTACTCGGGCTCCTTGTGCCTCAGTTTTCTCCCCTGCAAGTGAGGAATGCTAGGAATTCCCAGTTTAAAGAGATGCAATAATGAAAGCAAACATTTCACTCAAGTGCTTAGAGTGATCAGCATACCACAGACACTCCACGAATGTGGTCTGGAGAAAACCAGCCTTGGCAGCCCCCGCATCCGATTCCTCTCCAGGGCTGGGACACCAGAAGCCAGCAGGAAGGGCTATTGGATCTAAATGAACCTTACCCCCATCCGTACAATTTTATTCCTTGTGCATTCAAAGCTGTTTTGTTCTCCATCACAATGTATTGGCTGCAGCTACAACGGAAGGGAAATTCTCTTTTGTTTTTTCCCCTGCAGTACTGGAGATTGAGCCCAGGACCTTGAGCTCACCAGGCAAGAGCTCTATTACTGAGCTACACCATTGCCCAGAAGGGAAATCTTTCCTAGGAGCTGACCTTGTCCACACCTGGGTATTATCCCAACCCCATGCTAGACACTGCACACTATATTTTATATCATCTTACTGAGTCCTCAAAGCCAGAAGGTTCACAACACAGATGAGGCAGCTTGGTGCCGGAGCCTAAGTCTAATTCCAGAGATTTTATCATGTCCACTAAACCTTATGCCTTCGCCTTATTCTTCATTTTGAGACAAGGTCTTAACTGAGTTGCCCAGGCTGGGCTTAAATTTGCAGTCTTTCTGCCTCAGCCTCCCAGAATGCTGGGATCCAGGCATACACCACCACACCCTGACAGCATCCACTTTCTAATGAGACAAACGCCTTAGGTGACTGAACTGTAAGTACAGGATCTTATTAAATGCAAGTCATCAACAACTTCCTGGAAAGCCTCAGAGTATTCTGGGTCTCCTGGAGGAAGGCCCACATAAGCCCGTGTTAAGCCCTCCTGCTGGATCCACTTTTCCTGCTCAGGGCCAAGGCTGTGCAGGTGCGGAAGGAGAAAGGAGTTAGGGCCGCAGCTGCGCAGGGATGGGGTCTTCCCTGGTACCGGTTCCCTTGGGACACCTGTGGGTCCTCTATGTCCTGCTGGTCTCAGATCAACTCCTGGAAGGTGCAGTGAACAACCAGGCCAGGGATTAATGCAACATGGGGGAATGCGTGCAAAAGGAAGTATTCTTCTGAAACTGAGTCCTGGGCTGTTTCCAAGAAACTGCCTTCTAACAGACATCTCCTGGATGTCCCAGTGAGGCCCTCTCTCTACACCTGGTCTGGACCACCTGTCTTGCAGCTCCCAATAAGAACTTTCCATCCTCGGCTTTCCTCACTCTCCCAGCCAATCCAGTAGCAGGACACCAACCCCACACCCTGTTTCCAATTTCCGTCCACACCACCTCCAACCTCTCCAGCGCACGTGTGCCTCTTTTGGATCTGGACACGCTAGGTACAAAGTTCCAGTGTGCTGGGCATCTAACAAGCTGGGCTGAGTGGGCGTGGGTATGCAGCCTGTGGGCTCCTCCTCTCCATAAGATCATGGCCAGGGAGCCTGGCCCGGTGGCCATGCCACCAGGTGAGGGCAGGGCTGCCCCAGACTCCACCTCCAACCTCCCCTTGAGTAAGAGGCCCGCTTTCCCCATCCAGGTGTTACTGTCCCATTCCGCAGCGCCCACAGCTCCCAGCTCTGACTGGAACCTGCCTCCACCCTTGCACCTGGAGCCAGCCTTTTCCCAGCATTGAGAATGACTGCTTAATAATATACAGGAAAACCGTGGTTCGTGAGAATAATTCCTTCCACTTGTAACCCAAAGCATTTGTATATCAAAACAGCGAGACAGTGAGAGGGGGAGAGAGAAGAACTGCTTGTGATCACGTGACATCGGCATGCCCTACTGTTCACACTGCAAGACATCACTCGTTTATCAACTTGTTGGAAATGTTTGCTCATCTTGGGGAACTCTCACAGACCATGTTAAGGAATACCTCAGCTCACGAACTCTTCTGTTTGCGAACAGCTGGGTTCGAAACAAAAGCAGCAACATTTTGTCTCCATTTGCAAACTCTGCATTGAGTGACAAATATGACCATGGCCATCTTCCCCTCACAAGCAGAGATGCAGCCATCTTCCCCCAAACCATAAAGCAAACGAAATTCTTAAACCAGCTACCACTGTACTCAAAGGTTCCTCTGGAAATCCCCTCGCCCCCCGGAAATACGACCTTCCAGGACTACTGAAGAGAGGGGGAGAGGAAGACAGCGCCCTCATTTTGGCTGTCATATTTTCAGAGGAGAAGATCCCATTAGCTCCCCTGGAAGCCACATTTAATTGCTTCTAGCCAACCAAAACCCCTGTCCTGTATGGCTCTTCCTGTTCACATCCTGGAAGCCTGGCTATCCACTGTTGTGTATCTGTGTGGTTTGCCTCTTGGATCATTTTGTTTTGTTTTTTTTTTTTTTTTTTTTTTTGGTTTTTCTCCGGTACCGGGAACCGAACTCACGACCTTGCGCTTGCCAGGCAGGCGCTTTGCTGCTGAGCTAAATCCCCAGCCCCTGATCATTTTGAATATGAATAGCATTTATCAGGTTGTATGGTTTTGTGTCACAGAAGTAGTAGATTATTGAGCCATCTATGTCCTCATGCTGGTCACAGACTAAGCTGCTAAACAGGGTCCCGCTGTCTGCCACCTGGACCTGCCTCCAGGATCATCTATCCTCAGGTGAGCTTCTGCTGCAACCGCAGTCCCTCAACAGACCTGCAGCTTGGCGAGACCCCAAGCAGAGGACCCACTCAACCGTGCCTGCACTCCTCGCCCACAGGAACTGGGAGACGACGACTGGGTGTTATTTTAGGCTGTACAAACTGACATCCAGCACCTACTTCTCCACCTTGTTCTTAAGGGTGTCACCGCCAATGCCTCAGTGAAATCCAGACATGCGGTTTAATCCAGTCACCCTAAGCGCTCTGCCAGTGTGAGGACGCTGCATAGCATCACCTGCTGTCTTCTTAGAGAACTCATTTTGCTGAGCGTAAATTTCCCGAAACCTCACAAATTACCCTTTTATAATCTCGAGTCTTTCTCATGCCTGAAGACAAGTTCCTCATTCACACAGCAGGTAGAATCTACTTTTATTTTTATCCCTCTTTTTGAGACCCAAGTCTGTACTGGCTTGTATTCTGTCTTTTGATGCCTGGAGATTCTCTTGATTTTAAGCCTCCAAAGGGCTTCTTTGGACACCCCAGATAGCTGAGCTCAGCATCTTCTATATTGTACCTTCATCTTAACATGTTCACGACGGGCTGTCACCTACATGTCTCACTGCAGGGCAGCGCTGACTTGAATGTGTTATGCTCATGCCAGCTTGTGCTACCGGCAGTACACGAGTGACTGTCCCATCTTGGCCACCTGATGGGACAGTCATAAGCATGCCCCTGGGGGTTCAAGCCAGTGGGGATGTACCAAGATCTGTGGCCATAGTTTATGACTAGAAAATATTGTTAATATATAGTGGCTGCAACTCTTCAAAAGCAGATGTAATCTAAGTCAAGCTCTTTTAATTTATATGGACGACCTGGTGTAGAATAAAACCCAGATGTTATATGCAAATCACATCAGTTCTGTCCTTTGGCCTGGCAGTTACTGTGACGGCCGACCATCCCTCTGTCAAGGACATTTGGAACTAATCATCCCTTACTAGTAGCTCTGTCACCTAAGAGAGGTAACCTTACTTTCAGAGGCGCTCCCTCAGTAATGGGATTGAAATGGCGCAGGTAATGAGAAAATGCACATTACCAACCTTTCATTCATGAATAAGCAATGGATCATCTTTACTTACCCCCCCTTTCCAAGATGTGCCCCCTAAGGGTGGCCTGAACCTAGGGACTGATTTCTAAAGAACAGGCTACGCTGGCAGCGGCGGTGTGGGACTTCTGAGGTGTGAGCCTAAAAGAGCCTGTGGCTTCTGTCCCGCCCCCTCAGGTCACTTGCTCTGGGGAAGCCAGCTGCCCTGCTCTGATAACACACAAGCAATTTCACACGGGAAGGCGGTGAGGCCTTGTGCCAAGCGCCAAGTGAGAGGCAGGGCCGGGCTTTCAGAGTGCTCCAGCCCGGCCAGCAGTCTCCGACCTCACAAGAGTCACCGAGCGGGAACCAACCTGCTAAGTCACCTCGAAATCCCAGGTCTTCACAAACAATGAGAAGACAAACATTTACAGTTTTAAATGGCCAAGTTCTAGAGTAATTTGTTGCACAGAAATAACGAATACAAAATATAGAACTTGAGAGGACCCCAGCAGGCCTGTGAGGAACCCTCCACCTGGAAGCCCTGGGCCGGCCTGCGAGATCACCAAGTGACCCCTCCCTTCATCCAGAGGACCTGGCAGGCTGGAGAGACGGATGGTGACTCCTCCCTCCATCCACAGGGACTGGCCGGGCTGGCAAGACCGCCGGTGACACAGGTGGACAGTGGGGCCCTGGCTGGGGCGCACACAATGGGAAGTTCGGCCTAGCGGCCTGGGAAAGTCCAAAGCAGCAGTAACAACATAAGCCAGCAGTTGGTAAGTCAGGGGACCCAGCGTAGCGCGTGGGCACAAAGACACGCGAACAGACGCAGGGGGTGGTAGGGCCGCCCTCTTCTTTCCTTCCTTGTTCTATTGTGTCCTGTTTTGCTTTTCTTTCTAAAACTTTGTTTCTTCATTTTCTCTCTCTGTCTCTCTCTGTCCCTCTCTCTGTGTAGTTATTTTTGTTCTCTGGTGTTCTGTTTTTTTTGTTCTCTTTCTTTCACGACTTAGATCTCTAACCTTTCTTCTGGTTTACTTCTACTCTTCCTCCCTTTTGTCAACTATTTCACTTGATTTTATCATGAAACACTGTCTCTTCTCCTCACGGTTCACATCAATACTCCTAGGCCTTCTCCTCCAACCCTTCCTCCTGTGTCCTACAATCACACAAAACTTGGAAGACCACCCTTTACCCTCCAACCCTGCTCCTACTATGTTTAACCTCATTCATCTCTCCGTTCTACCCCCTATCCCTCTTAACCCCCCCACACACCACAAGGTAAAATCACTCCAGTAAGTGGAAAGTCATTGTATATAAGTTCCTGGTACAAGCTGGATTAGACTGTATAAAAATAGAACTTGCTCCTATGGTTGAAGATATCAGGCTGATAGTTACCACAGTTTGTCAGTAGCTAAGCTGTGTTTGAGTCTAGCATTACTGCTGACTGCACTACTTTAACGGGAATGTCATACCTGTTATAATCAGCTTTTCTCCCCTGTATGACACTGCTATGGCAAGGGGTCATTACCATCACCATACTCCAGTACCAAAGGAATGGGCCCTGAGTCAAATAGATAGCAACTTTACACTCTTAATATATTGGGAAGGTAGGTTCTTGGGATAGATACAAAAGCCAAGAAACACCTACATCTAGAAGATAGCCTGAGAAACAGACATTTCCTAGGGAAACCTCAATACCAGGGATAAAGCTTATCTAACATAAATCCACAAGCATCCACACAGAAAAGAAAACAAAAAGTAAAAAATAAAAAAATGACAAGACAAAGAAGCAAAATACAACCCTAAATGCCCAGCCCACACAGGACAAGTCCAGAGCACAAAGACAGGAAATCAGAAACCAGTAACTGGAATTTTCTGAAATGATAGCAGCAGAAGTGAAAAACAAACAAATGGAAGAGGCTATAGAAAAAAATCTCTAAGATGCCAAAAGAAATGATCAAAATGAACAACATTAAAGCAGACACAGATTTTAAAAAGTAGAGGAACTCAGGAAAATGATAGAAACTATGACTGCCCAACATAATCAAAGCAATGGGATCAATGAAACAGATCCAAACAAATCCAGGAGATTAAAAACTCCACTGAAAATACACACAACAAATTGAATGAAAGTGAGGATAGAATATCAGATCTACAAAACTCAGGACTTGCACATACCTTGCAGTATGGTAAAGTTCTTGATAAGCTGACCATGCTTGGAATCCACCAGTTTCATTTCTTCCATGATCACTGACAAGTTGGCTACCTCAGTGTCTAACCTTGACCTCATCATGTCTTGTTGCATCCTGAGAGAAACAGAATCCAAACGGATGTTGGCCAGTGTATTATTCAAGGAGGTCAGGTCATCTGTGTGCCTGGTTAGGGTATCTGTGCAAGTGGTCCTGACTTCATTCAGATTGCTGGTCAGCGTCCGCAGGTGGTGGGCTGTGTAGCTGATGTTGCTAATGATGTTCACAATATCCATCTCGAAGAGCTGGAAGCGCTCCTCCAGCTGGCTGAATTTGATGGCTGTTCTGTTCTCCGCATCCTTGTGCAAGTCCTGAAGGTCCTTCAGGCTCTGCTCGTTGGCTTGTGAGATGGTGGTGATATTGTCCATCTGACCTGTGAATGAGCTGAGCTGGCTGTTCATATCCTCCAGGGTGTCGTTGTTGGCTTTGGCCAAGGCAGAATTGTTGGCAGCCAGGGTCTGCAAGCTCTGTACTTTCTCCTTCAGCCAGTCGGTGTCCTTCTTGGCTTGAAGGAAAACCTGCTGCAGGTTCTGGAAGTCATTCTTGATGCGCTGGATGGCCTGGCTGGTGTCATCCACTGATCGCTGCAGGTTGGTGATGAGGTTCCTCTGCTGCATCTGGGTCAGGTTCAGGTTGTTGAGGTTCATGATGACCACGTTATGGGAGTACATCTGGTTCTGCAGATTGCTCTGGAGCACGCTGGTATCTTGCTGCAGATTCGTGACATAGCCATTATATGCCTGGAGGGTCTTGTTTACAGTGGTGATGAGGAAAGAATTATTCTCCAGAGTTTCTTTCAGTTGGCTCTGCCTGTCTACCAGAGCATCCCCACCCGCCTGCAGCTTCTCCAGCGTATCTTTGTTCTTGGTGGTTTTTTCTGTAATCTCACGAAGTTGTTGGCGAAGATCTAGAATATCTGATCTGAATGTGGAGAGTTCTGAATTGGTGCTGATGGCTTTCTTCCCAGTTTGGTCCCCTGGAATAGGAAATGTTTGTTAGACTGGTAGAATGGAGAGCTGTTCTGATAAGGTCAAAGAGCCCAGAGATACCTGACCGGTACGCACTACATTTCGAATCCCAAAACCAAGGAATAGAAGAGTCTGTGATCTTCTATTTTGTAAATTCTACAACGCCATGCATATAAAAGTATCTTAAATAGGAATGTATTGAGTATTTTATCAAAGAGCCTTTAGTAGGGGGTACTTGTAGTGTTTTTCGGACCAAGGATGAAACCCAGTGCCCTGGTACTAAGCTCCATCCATCCTCCCATTTCTTTGTATGCTCATTGGTACTGGGGGTTGAATCCAAACCTTCATGCTTAGCTACATCCCAACCCTTTTTATTTTTTTATTTCACAACTTGAATTTACAATCTTCTTGCCTCAGCCTCCCCAGGGTGCTAGAATTATAGGTCTATGCCACTATGCTTGGCTTTTATTTGCATTTAGAGTTTTGGGGGCAGGATTCTCCAAGACTGGTCATTTGCTTTACAGTTTGAAAGTCATTGAACTAAATCATGAAGACTCAACACACAATGCCAAAACTGAATGTTTTCCTGTGTAAATGGAAGTTCACAGCAATGTCAGTCTAAAAGCGGGCGGCATTTATACAGAATTAGGAGGTATGACTCAATGACTCCTCTCAGCAGTTACCTAATTTCTTCAGGTCACTTTCCACTGCTGTGAGCTTGTCATCATAGGTTTGCCGAGATGTCTCCATGCCACCTGTCACATTGTCCATTTTCTCTACAACTAAGATTTGGAAAACAAAGCATTAGCCCACGTACCAGCTCATATTTGATTTTTCAGTTTCAAAACAGCAAATCATTTCATCACAGAACAAAGGAAACAGATTGAAACAAAAGGTATAAATTAAAATAAAATACGGGGAGCCGGGTGTGATGGTGCACGCCTGTAATCCCAGCACTTAGGGGACTGAGACAGGAGGACTGCTGTGAGTTCGAGGCCAGCCTGGGCTACATAGTGAGTTCAAAGCCAGTCTAAACTACAGTGAGTCCCTGTCTCAAAAAAAGAAAAATAGTAATAAAATATAAGGAAAAGTTAGTCCTTAGAAAAAGAAATAACTTACTTGTCACAAAGCCCAATAGTATAATTTACTTCACCAGAAGGTGTAGACTCTTGACAGTTCTTATGATTCCGTAATGCCTTGGGAGCTTTAAAAATTGTTCGACTAAATTAAAATTTTTATGTATTAAAGAAATCCTCAATCTATAGTATTTGTTAATTTCTATACATGGAGGTGGTATAGAAATGCTGTGAACATTTACAAACTTTCATCACTCACTAGCTTAACTAGAATTCCTAGTAGGTGGGACTCACTTACCTAGAAGGGTATTCCATGGCCAAAGGGTCCCTACCTCATGTCTGTACACAAAGTACCCCAAGAAGGGACCAAAGTCAAGGGTGCCTAGCGCTCCCTGTCACGAGTTCTACCACTGAGGCCCCCAATCCAGTTTTCCTTAGTGATGATCAAATCTGTATTTTGTCAGTTCTCACATAGATGTCGAAGCGGTGTTTCCAAATAATGGTTTACCAACATGACTTTCTGTTTCATGGTTTGCATTTCCTTGACTGAACAACAAGACAGCCCAGCACATGCGGTATTAAATACAAGATTCACTTCTCTCTTCTTCTCAGAAGGCAGCCATTCTCTGTGGCTATGAGTTCAAGTTTGGTTCTAAAATGTCTAAAAAGAGGGTATTTCTCCAGAAGTGACTCCCACGGGCTCCAACTTCTGGAAACTTTGGATCAAGCCTGTCTTTCTCTTTAATTAGTTTATTAATCAATGTTTCTATGAGACAGGGTATCACTGTACTGCCCAGATTGCCCCAAGCTCCTAATCTTGAGTGGTCCTCCTGCCTCAGCCTCCCAAGTAGATGGGACAGTATGCATGTGCCACTATGCTCAGCTTATGGCAATCCTTGGCATCAACAAGCTTCTCTTTAATCACTGACTTTAGAAAAGCACAAAGCAGTTTTGTGTACTAATTGCAGGCTGACTAATCCAGTGTGTACTATTCATCAAGAGTTCTACCCACGCATGAGCGTTTGGGAAGGTTCTCTTGACTCCTCTGGCAGAAGTGCTCCCACGAGCCAGCCTGACCCAGCCTTACCCAGCCCCGTGGATGCCAGAGTGCCCCAGGAGCAGCTCAGCACGCCTTCCCTGGAGCGCCTGTGGTCTGGCCGCCATCACTCAAGTGCTCTCTCCCCGACAGCCTCTCCATGTGTCTTCTCTCCGCCTCGCACCTGCTTCGTGCTTCTGCACTGATTTAAGTCTGTCTTGTCCTTCAGGGCTCAGCTGCCTGGGGGACCCATTGCCGAGCCGTCTCGCAGAATCTGCTAGGCGAGCGCCCATCCCCACACAGGTCTCGCTGCGCTGTGGTTGTGGTCTTTAGTTCGGGCTATCTGTACAGATGCTGCGCGACGTAAGATAGGCTGCTGTCCTAATAAGTCCATCCCAGGTTGGAAATACCGGAAGTGGAAAATGCCCGGAAGCTGCGTAAGCTACAGAGCATCACAGTTCAGCCACGCAGCGCACTGCGGAGTGAGGCGGTTTGTCCCAGGGACCACAGCCTGAGTGGGAGCTGCTCCACCCCGCATCGCAGAAGAGGATACCCTTACCTATTGCTAGGCCAGGGAAAGAGCAAAATTCAAAATTCGAAGCAGTTTCTACTGAATGTATCCTGCTTTCACACCATCACAAAATTTAAAAATCCTAAGCGGAACCATTGTAAGCTGGAAACTGTATTTAGTTTTTGTTTTATTTTTTGAGACAAGGTCTCACTATGTAGTTCAAGCTGGCTTTGAACTCATGACATCCCTCCTGCTTCCGCCTCGCGAGCGCTGGAATTACAGGCACGTGC